ACGATGCTGTCCCCAGTAAATCCGAATAGGGGGTCGGTCTTGAGGATCAACCCATGTTCGATTTGTATTTGGTCAAACTGCCATTGTCGACAAACATGCATTTGAGAGCCCGTTTCTGGCTACTATGGCTCTCACAACCAGTGCGTCGCAATGGGGATGGTGAACTCCTTGCGCATCTTCCTGGGAGAAGGTAATTTGGGGCTATCTTGTTGGCCTCTTGGGACTCGTTGACAATGTAAGTGATCATTGGTGGGTCCTTTGCTTCCTTATATAATTCCTTTGGGCATTCCTGGTATTGCCACCGATGTGGGGTCCCCTAATGATGGTGTCGATTTTCTTGATGATTTGGCCCCCAGAAAATGGGGCCTGATATCTCTGCTTGGGTTCTCCTTGGTCCCTTGATTCTCTTCTCTGGGGTGACTGCTCTTTGTGCCTTCAATCTTCCCTGTTCGGGGAGACAGATCTGCGAGGATATTCATTCCTCCTGGAGGGGTGTGGGTCGGTCCGGTCTGAGCGTCGAGGAGCGTCTCTGCATTCGTTGGTGTCATGCTCATAGAGTTGATGGAAAGTGCAAAACCTTGCCCTTGGAAAAGGCCTGTTTGATCGCTTCTTCTTCTTTTTCTTGCTATCGTTTCTTCCAGATGGCCCCGCTTCGCCAGGAGCATTTTCATATGCCAATATCGGCACTACATTTAGTGCGGCGAAAGCTAGTGCCAGTCCGGAGGTGGGAGCTATTGTGTGTCCTCGACCTACCTGCCTCTGAGGCGGAGGGAGTCCTTGCGCAGCACGGTTTCGGTGATCAATCATTTTTTCACTCATGATTTCAACTCTCATCATTTCCACGAGTTCGTCATAGGTGGAAGGATTCTTGCTACGCACGTCCCTCCAGAATAAAGTGTTCATGTTGAGGTCGCCTTTCAGGGCTAAAAGGCCTTCTTTGTCAGTAACCTGTTCGCAGTATGTGATTTCGTCCGTAAACCTGGCGAGATAGTTTTTCAGCGTCTCTCCAGGGGCCTCTCCAGGGGCCTGCCTCATGTCTTGCAGGCGTTGCACTAGGGCTTTTCCTTCTCTTCGCGAGAGGTACTGAATGCCTTCTTCAAATCTGGCCAACTTCTAATGCTTAGGGGAGGAAGCCTGCTGTACCACACTTCAGAGGCTCCGCCTAGTGTTAAATGGAAGGCTCTACATTTCAAAGTAGGGGAGGCTCCCCTGAGACTCATTTGTGTCATATACTTGGTGAGCTGCTTCTCCGGGTCCTCATTTCCTTCATACTTGGGGATCTTAGGGGACATGAAATTTGTTGGCATTAGGAAGCTTCGGATCTCCCTTGAGAAAAGGAAGGTTATCATCATCATCGTCAATCTCATAAGACCGACACGGCCCATCTGACCCTTCATCATCTTGAATGTTCTGGGGAGGTGAAGATGCTTCTCCTCGACTCCCCCACTCGACTATTTTCCTCTTGTCCCTCCTATTTTTAGGAGGAGCTTTTCACTGGGCAGGCCCTATTGCTAGGATCCTCCCCTATCCGATCGAAGATGCTTACCGACCTCTGTTCTTCATATTCTTACGAGAAATTGTTCCCCAAGTGTGGTTCTGATGGCTGGTTCCCTTGCACATAAGATGTAGCTTCGGTGCCCACTTCTCTTTCGAGAGGGCGTTCTCTGTGCTGAATGGTGTGGCCTCGAGAACGAGATACTGAGGCTTCCTGCACTGGAGTTCATGCATGGCCATATTCTGAGCTGCGATGTCTCTCATGCCCACAGCTATTTTAGCCATTCCTTCAGTGAGCATGGCTGTTCTTTCACCTCGACGACGCCGATGATGGGGTCTTTGGTGAGTAACATTGTTATGGAGCACCTCCTCTTCAGAGACCTCTCTCATGGGGTTGTCGTTTTCATGACTATAACTCATCCTATCTCCTTTTTCAAGGGTGGTGAGAACTTGGATTTTTCAAGAACGTGCCCTTTTCAAGGTTAGTCGTTAGTTTTCCGATGATTTCTTCGGTGGAAAATGCAGAACTTTGAACGGGAAGTGCTTCCCACAGACGGCGCCAATCGGTTGACCTCGAAAATTGGACCTTCTACGTGGCCAACCGAGAGCTACTCCACGTATTTCTCCCTGCGCACAATCAAAGCACGGTCAGACGCACACGGTCGGGACCAGCGAGGGTGGCGACGACCGTATACACTCCGACAGTCAAGTCAAGTTCAGGTGGTTGGAATAGTACCCAGGGATTGTGCAAAATAATAAGGGGGAGGAGAAAATATATATATGCTTGCTATGGAGTGCTATGTAGTAAGAGTTTCATTACCTTTGCCTCTTACCAACCCTTGGGTATTTATAGGTAGGATGAACCATTGGATGTGGGGCACGTGTGTACATATAACGGTATGAGGTGTCTACTCATAGGCGTCAATCAGCTGCGTCTGTAGAGTGGGCGGGTAATTACTTCTCCCGAGTTGAGTTGACATAAAGTTGATAAGTCACATCAACTAGTCTCATGGAGACGTAAAATCAATTTAAACCTTAGGGTCAAAAATGATCTTGACAAAGATCTCCTTCTGAAATTGGCGGCAGATCTTCTGACAGAGGTCCCCGGAGTGCACTTCGCCTCGGCCTCAGGGGCGAAGGCGCTTCGGTCAGTTCAGCAGGATCGCCTATGTCTCGCAGTGTGATAGCAAGTCGTTGACATTGGGGAGATCATTTCGAAACCACTTCGAGTGGGTGTCTAGCAGATCGGAGTGTGTGGTGGTGGACATTCCGAGGTGGTTTACTTTGATCTTTTATAGGGTTCACGGTTAAAGTCCAACACTGAAATCAATTGAGGATACACTTTGATCTTTTATAGGGTTCAAGGTTAAAGTCCAACACTGAATTTAAGCATTCTATTACAGATTTTCAAAAAGGGAAAATTAGCCCAAATTGTACATATAAACTATACAATTCAAAATTAAGGAAGCATAGTTTTAATTTCTCAAATCAGGTGGTAATTAAAATTAAAATTAATATATTAATAATTATCTTATTAATAATTATCCTAAATCAAATTAGATAAAATCTTTTCAAACAATATCATTACCATAACTGATCCTAATCAATCTTCCTTGCTGATGAGTGTATTTCACTCATGCTTTAGGCACACTCTAAGCTTCATATATAACTCATTTCTACAAATTTTAGAGCATTTTAATGTTGTTATATAAGTTGATAAAATTGAAAGAAATAAGCAAAAGTTGGCAAAATTAGAAAATGGGTTAAATTGTAAGAGATCAAAAGTTCAAGTGCTAAAGTGCAAATGCTCAAAAGTTGTGTCGGACCTCACAATGAACATTTGAGAGTGCTAGGAGGATAAAAAATAAAATCAAAAGAGTGAAATATAGTGAAAGTATGATTACACATCAATCTCCAATCAAAAAAGTTATGCTCCGAATTTTTAATCTCATATTGAGACCATTTTTTATATAGCAAACATTTGAATTGGAAAACGCTATCTAAAGCAAAGTTGTAGCACTTTGAATTATCTTCCAACGCATCTTGAATCGGCTCAATGAGAAATCAAGAGAAGAAGTTGGTCCCTAGACATTTTATTCAAGTAAAATCTCCTTTCACAAAACAAACTTATGTTTACAATTGGGGTTTCAAGTTGTGAAGAATTTTAGCCATGGGATTCGTGGTAAAGTTGTGTATGTAAAGTTTCATGGCGGGGAAACTAGGATCCACATCAGGGTATTTTGGGACACCCTCTTTTGATGAGAAACATGTACCAATGATGCGAAAGGGTCACAGTTGGACCCTTCTGAGTCCACGTTCTTGGGATTAAGTGATAATAGATTGTGTTAATGGGATATGCGTGAGAAACAGGGAATGCTTCAGAAAATTATAAATGCAGGTTTGCTAGTGTTGCACTGGACCCAGGGGTATGAATTCTCCAGAAGGAGTTTTGCCACGACTGGAGATGACTCAATTATAGTTTGGTCACTTGATGGGTAGACAAAGACTGGTTTTTGAGGGTGCCACGGTGGGTAAGTTCAGTGTGATATGGAATTTTCAACAAGTGAAGAACAACACAAATTGTTGCTACCAGAATCATCAGGGGCCTAATTGCTACAAAATAGGGACAGATCCATTATCAAAAGGTCGAATCATGCACGGCAAATTTGCCCGATGACAATCGTTCTATTAATGGTGAGTTACAAATAGGCGATTGCAAGATTTAAACATAGAGATACCATTGGAGGGTGCAACTTGGGAAACTTCAGAACTCATACACACAAAATTTCCTTCATTTAAACCTTGAGGACAAGGTTAATCTAAGGGGGAGGCCAACTAAAATTGAGAAAAAAGGAAAGAGGAAGACTAGAGCAAGACAAGCAGAGGAAGAAGGAAATGTAGCTAACGGTTTTATATAAAAACTCAATTAGGGAAACGGTGTCGTTTTGGATTCAAATGAAATATTGTAAAAGCTAAACGCGTTTTCTTTAGTTTTCAGTTTCCCTTTTTACACTTTTGACTTTCTATTATAACCATCAGGTGGAGGAGAAAAGGGCACGATGATTGTACGTGAAAAATCCCTCTCTCTATACTTTTTCTTCTTATTATCTATTTCTTATCTTCTTTAATCTCCTCTTAGTTGCTATAATCGATTTGGTTATTCCAATTAATATTGCAATTAATATACCTAGTGTTGAATTCTGTGTTATTGTTGCTGGAATTGTTGGGTTGAGATTCAAGCTCAACCATTACAAAGAATTTGATTAGAGCTCTGGAGGAATTTGGCTTACTAAAATTCACTGACGATATATAATATGAATAGATTATTGTTATTTATTACCTGATTTTTGAAATATTTTTTTTAAGTTTGTTAAATGTAAATTTGTATGCTTGGAGTATTGTAATTTTGTATTTTTCCCTTTTCAAAAAGTCAAACATTGCAAAAATCACCCAATGAACAGAAAAATTAAACATGCACAACCGATATTTAACTATAGCAATGATTTATTATTTTTATTTAATATTATTAATTTCCAGTAGGAAAAATATTTACAAAACTGGGTATGCGAAAGGCTATGTGACAGGGTGAACGTAAAATAAGAACCAAAAAATACATCTAGGCAGTGACATTCCAATTAATATCTTTTGCTAGTTTGGATAAAATAGACGATCAAAACCAGTATACCTTTTGATGCTTCAGAAAATTATTACCATATAAGAACATCATCACTCATCACTTCCTTTGTTGCCAGTTGCTAGGGGATGCGAAGGAGCAGTACCACGAGCAGACCGATGTTCCTGTAGGGTGTGAAAGGCTAATAAATGAGATATTTGCCCTCTCCAAAAAGATAAAAGAATTTTTTAAGCCCATCTTTGGCTAATAATAAAAGGCCAAACAACTTTTATCCACACATTTTATAGAATACACAAATACTATCCACTTAGAGAAATACTACAAAAAAAGGGTTTCGGACATGGTTTAAATCTAGGCAGACACGTGTCTTTCACTGATTGAGTAGTTAGAAAAAATATCTTTCGGCTATCCCTGTCAAGATCCATGAATACGATACCAATTAGAGAAATGCTACAAAAACAGGGTTTGGAGCAGGGTTTAAATCTAGACAGACACGTGTCATTCACTGATTCATTCACTGATTGAGTAGTTAGAAAAAAATATCTTTCGGCTATTCCTGTCAGGATAACTTTACTGATGACCCACTTATCCACCACTAATTTTCATTTATTTATAATTTAAATAGTTTATAAATACTTCCGAAACGGTTTGGCCTTAGTCAGCACTGTTCAATGACAAAAGATTACATATGAGGGGCAGACATAAAAATCGACTAGGACTATAAAACATTTTGTAAGATTTTTACTTCGACTTGATATTATAAGTAGCTTGAGTAGAAAAAGAAATTCGAGTCCCTTTAGTTTGTTGGTTTAAATCGGAACAGAATATTCGAGCAGGGCATACTGAAAACAAGTCACATTATTCAGTACTAGTACTTAGTTATATAGGAAAACAAAGGAAATGAAGCTCACCACGCGGTAAGAAAGTTCATCAGCCTCAAGCATATGAACAATTTGCCCCATCTTTGGACGCTTGCTTGCATCCAAATCTATACAGCGAAAGCAAACCAGAAGTACTCTCTTCAAAGTTCTGGGAGGAGGAGGAATTTCAATGAGGGGGTCGACCAACTCTTCACCACGATGATTTGCTACCATTCCTTTGAACCAATCAACCAAATTCACCTGGATTTAGTAAATAGAGTTACAATATGTAAATATGTTGTTATTAATATAAGTACATACTTCAGGGGAAGAATTAGTTTACCTCCCCAGGTGGTCTGGAATAGTCGACTGGGCTCTTTCCAGTAATTATTTCAATGAGAAGAACTCCAAAACTATACACATCGTTCCCCTCATTAAGCATACCAGTGCTTGCATAGTCAGGGGAGACATATCTGTAGCAACATGCATGGTTAACAATAAGCAAATAAATTTTTGTTACTATCTTTCAAGCTGACTGCTGCTTAATGGAAAATCAAACTGTCAAAGTCAGAGAGGAACAGACCCAAATGTTCCCATCACTCGTGTTGTAACATAGCTTTTCTCTGATCCTAGCAGTTTGGCAAGTCCAAAATCCGAAATTTTTGGATTCCATTTCCTATCTAGAAGAATGTTGCTAGACTTCACATCACGATGCACAACCTTGGGCTCCAATCCCTCATGCAAGTATGCCAGTCTGTGACAAAATTGACCGACTCATTCAAAAAATGGAAGATAAGAACATAAATTAAAAAATATATATCTGTAAAATTTGACCATTGGACTTCCAGGAAATTTTTCCAATATAAACATTGCGGTAAAAATATATACTGTGAGACATAATATCTCACCCTCTTGCTGTCCCAATGGCAATTTTCATCCTGATCTCCCAAGTCAAAGGGCTAACAGGCCCCACAATACCATGTAACCACTGCTCCAAATTGCCATTATCAATGTACTCATAAACTAGCAACCTAAATGGAAGGAAAGAAAACATAGTTATTATTTTTAGTAAAAGATAGCGATATCTACATGACAGATAAATTCAACGGCCAGTCACATGTACCTTTGAGCACCTTCTACACAATAACCCATCAAGCCCACGAGGTTCTTGTGTCTTACCTTTCCAATGGCTTCAACTTCCACCTTAAACTCCTTCTCTGCCTGACCCCTATTAACAAGTGAATCACTAAGCATCAAATTGAACAGAGTTTGTTTCAATGTACAAAGAGCTTAGGACTTCTTTTGAAGTTTAGTAGAAACTTGAAGTTACGGTCACTGCATATTTTTATATGCATCCATCAATTCAGCATTTTGCTAAGGTCAATCGATTGATAGTGCAGTTGGTAGAAATGTCATTTTCAAAAAGAAGAAAAAGAAAAGATGTTTGACGTGGAGTTCATGTTTTAGAATCAATTTCTTCCATTTCCAGGAACTCATTCACATATGATATTCTCTTCGAAAAGTTTATCTGGAATATGAAGCAACCACTAATGCAATCTTCTACATGACTAAAAACAACTGCATCCCTGTTCTGGTATTTGTTGACGCATAACTCTCCAACTATGCAGATATATATCCGTTGCTTCTCATATAATACAACATTATTAGCACCGTCACTCTTGAATTTTGCAAATTGACGAAGCAAAAGTAGGTGCCAGAAAATATATACTTAATTATCATCGATCAAGAACATAACATCCATCCCACCCAATATTTTCTGTAGCAAGCCAATTCGGGGTCCCAAAAGACAATATTTTCCATCAATAAATAGTTGCTCCTTAAAAGTGTTCTATAGAAGCCAAATATCATCCACCTAAGCCAGCATAAAGTCATAACTGCTATGAGAAAATTAACAAAGGAAAAGGGATGGAGAAAAAGGCGTTTAACCAGAAAAGGGCGGAAACAAAAATAAGATAAAATCAACTGACAAGAATGAATAATAAAGAAACAAAAGGAAGAGTTTTACTTTGTTTTTCTCATCTTATAGTCAAAAAGAGACAAAAAGTTGGCCAGTTTTCAAAAAAAAATAAAAAATAAATATCATTTCAACATGAACTACACCTTCTTACTTCAATTATATAATATCAAAGAAAGAATTAACCAACATGAACTGAAAAAAAAAAAAAAATAATAATAATAATAATAAATAAATGAAATAAAAAAACAAAAATCCATTATGTTTACAGCCTTTTGCGATGAAGGTAATATAATAAACTTACTCGTTGTTTAGGAGATTTTTCACGGCAACAACAGAGCCATCGGGCAAAACACCTCTGTAAACGATGCCGTAGCCTCCTTCACCAATCACATTATCATCCGAAAATCGATTTGTTGCGATTTCCAGGTCCTTCAAACTGTACCATCGGCCCCACCCAGTGTTATTCAACCCGTCGGTGGACGCAGATATAGCAGAAGACGATTCGCTCCGAGTTGTACTCGACCCATTGCTCTCCGAACTACCCTTTTTGCCCTTAGACTCGATTGCAACACCTTTTATCACATCTGGTGTAAAAAAGGCTTTGTTTTTTACGCCGACTGTATTTTTTTCAGCGTGATCCAAGGTTTTGATTTCCGTGATCTCATTACAAACCAGAGGCACTAAACCTGAACCGTGTTTCTCACCAACGCGGCGTCGTCTCGAGTTCCGATTCCAACGGAGGAAGAGGAAAATTAAGAAGAAAATGAAAAGCACGATGAAGACAGTCACGATTATGATGACGTAGAGTTTTTGTCCAAGAATTGGGGTTTTGGAGGTGAAAAAGCTGGAAGACGAGTTTCCGGAGGTCTGATTCTCGCTTGAAGACTTGTCGGAAACAACCATTATTCCGATGAGTTTGTAGAGAGCCGTTAGCGTGTGGAAAAGAGACTACAGCATTTGAAAATAACGGTAAAATTGGTGAAGATTGGTGAATTGAGGACTTCGGAGGTTTTAGGCTTTTAGCAGTAGAGACTGGACCGGAGAGTGGACACTTAACGGATAGTTAACAGAAACCGTATGCTTTGTATATTTTAGGCTTAGTTTTCAGAAATATTACGAAAGGCCCAGTTAGCTGAGAAGGAAAAATTAAACAAAAATATACAAAATTTCAATTAATACGGCCTAATTTAAAATTGACAAAATCTCAATAATTATTGCTTGATTTAAAAATTAACAAATTGTTCTTATACCCGCTTCTATGGTTTTAAAAATACTCATAAATTTCCTGCGGCCAAAAATTTGGTATGGAGTAATCACTGCGGAGGAGGGTCTCTTGTGCCCAGAAGTGTACGGTCAATGGGGGAACCTGTGATCCAGTTGAGGCATAACCCGCGATTTATCCTTTCTAAAGTTCTAGGGTCATGGATCTTGGAGATCCAGAATTTAGTCTGGTGTAAACTGGGATATCTGGATATCAAAAAAAAAAAAAATACTCATAAATTTATACTTAAGTCGAATATTCATAATGTCTTTTGCAACTATAGTATGACAATCGTTTTATATCGTACCCTTGATTCCATATTTGCATAACACTGAAATTTTCATTGTAGATAAAATACCACATGATTATATGACTATCGTTTAGACTTGAAAAGCACCATGCAATATCCATCAATTAATTCCAAAAACGAAAGCTTACACTTGAATTCACTAGTGACAAAGCCATTTAAATCAGGCAAAGGGAATACAAGGAAAATTAATATTAAAATACCACCAAACTTGACAAAAGTCAAAAAATAATTGGGACTAATCATTCACCAACTACAATTTGCTTACAATCAAGTTAATTAACCATGGAGATTAAAATCAAATTTTTAGAAAATTTTAATAAAAATTGGAAAAATATATGATTAAAATTAAATGTTAATTTTGACTTAAATTAAAATTAAAATTTTAATCCCTACCAATCAGAAACTTGATACATTTATGCCCTACAGTCAAAGATGACATATACATTTTACTAAATTAAATTGGATTAAATAAAATCGAAGCAAAACGAATTTAAATTGTTTGTTATTTTATTCATATTAATTCAATTTAATGTACTAAAAATAATTTTTCATATTATTTAAACAGATCCGTATTTTTCTTGTATTTTCATTCACAAAGCTTGATGATCCATGCATTTGCTCGACTGAGTATATCTAGAGAAATGTAAAACTTTAATTAACTACATTTCACTTTAATTTCAACAGAGATCCCCCAATATTTCACTCATTCTCACACTTATATCCTCAACTTTTTTCATCTAATTTTTATCTTTAATCTTCCTTCTAATTAGCAAGATTTAGGTCCAGATATTCTATCAGAGCAAGAAAAATCTTTTGCCTAACTTTTATAGTAAAAAATTAAACGTACAGAATTATTTTCCACAAAAACATTATAGACCCTTACATCCGATGGACCCCACGTATATTAAAATATTGCAAAAAAATGACCCACCCACCCTGGTATATGTGTGTTCTATACCATTTTTCTGTAAGTTTTAGCTTTGCTCACTTTTATATTAATTGTTTATCTTGCTTATTTAAAAATATGAGAGCGACTGATTGTGGGTGTTTTTCAAGAATCTAAATCCTCCAGAAATCAACGGATGAAATAAAAATATGATTGCGGTGGAAACACACACACACCCATGAATGGATTAGAGGCGAAGAGTGGAAAACGAGCTTGTCTATTAGCGCAGTCATGGATTTCCTACTGTTCATTTGTATATTGAAGCCTCAATCAAATAACTTCATGATCTACAAATACATACCACTTATTGAAACATAAATTAATAGTATCATCTGAATAGCAATGAGTTTTTCTTGCGTATCGTATGTCAGTATCTACTGATGACTTGAGCAGGGTAATGGCCGTGATTGCAGAGCCTAAAGAGAATTTTGAGGACTCGGGAAAAGGAGAAGATAAGATCACCTAAACGGTCTCATGTGAACGTACTCTGGATCTTTCTATCACCGAGGAATAGCAAAGTCTAAGTCATGCAAAGAAGACAGAAAATACGTGTATCAGTGGAAGGATACCGGATGATATATATACAACAAATAGCAGCGGTGATGAAGAAGGGGAACATTAAATAAAACATTGCAAAAAATAACTAAAAGATAGATGAGAGAATGACTTTCACTCGAAAAAACTATAGTTCAAAGATCCTCTGAAGGTCCTATGCTGATCAACTCCAAGTCCCTCTCAAGTTTGATATTCAATCTTTTGTCTTTGACCAGCATTTAATTATGGTTCAGCTAAAAATTAAATCTTTAGTATATTTTGATAATAAAAGTTGCGGGTTCTATGAAATGTGTGATTAAATATAAATTTAAAGAAAAAATATTTCTAGAAAATGGAGCCCGAACAGGGGTTCAGTTAATACCTAGGGTATCAAGGCCGGATATGAGAGGGAAGTAGAGAAGGGGAGGGGGGTGGCCGGAGGGGGTTCTTAAAGTACAGGTTCGTGCATACACTAGATATGATCTCAGCAGTGACTCATTATTCCGATTAACGAAAACACGCTCACCTTCAAAATAGATATTTATATCAGATAGAACAAATCTAGTAGAAAATGTTCAAGAGTAATGTCCTAAATAAGCTGTTAAATGAAATGTGATGATCACATACAATGAAAAAAAAAAAAGAAAAAAAAAGAGACCAATAAATATGTTACAACCGCTTTTGTTGAACCTTTAAGCGGCCTTGAAAATGGAAACAAAGGTAAAGGCATCAACATATTATTCCAATTAGCAAATAATGTTGTCCATAAATCAGTCAACAACGTGTCTCAAACGAAACAATATTTTTCCCAACATGATAAAAAAAATGTTAGAAACTCTTTTCCATGTTGAAAACAAAAAGAAAAAAGAAAAACCAAACTTCTAAATGCATCTATCTCTGTCTATGCCAGCATACACCTTGTTACAATGACATTGCAAATCCTATACCAGCAGTAGAAGAGAGAACTTATCAAGATACAAGTGGCAGATAGAATCACAATTCATGAGCTAAAACTATGAAATGAGTCATTGAATTATGCATTTGTATCCATGTTGCCTTGTAATCTATACTGATCGTCACACTGCGCCTTTTAACTTCTACGGGGATTCCATGTACTAAACATGAGATTGAAAAAATCAAAGAACAGAAAACCTAACTAATGTTTTGCCATTGGCAGCATGCACTTTCATCCCATTACATTCATACTCCGACATTTTACAGCATCACTTTCAAAGAAAAAGTCATTAGGCCTTTTAATTTCATGGTTTGTCAATTTACAGCACATTGCACCTTGAACCAGACCAACTCCGTTGTATTATTTAACAGCAAAAAGGTATTCTATTGATCAATGCTCCCTACTGTGGGTAAACAAAAAATCTATCTCTTTCCTAAATAATTCACCTACTTCTCCAACATCAACTTCAGATAAAAATTGGTGCGAAATGCATTAAGAACAAGGGAAAATGTGAAAAAGCATATTAGTGCTTGATAGATAGCAACACCATTTGCAGTCAAAACAATTGGACGAAATTGGCATAGACTTACGCATATTGAATTTTCACAGCTGGGGCTTTAATGTTTAAAGGGTATATTGCCAAATCACGGAAGATTATGAGGAACAAATCAACAAACTGCATTTTACCCTTAAAAAAAAAAGAATAAATTCAAATTTCAAAAATGAGAAATAAAAAAGGAAACAATGTAACCTTGAGAAAGCAAGCTCCAGCAGGAAGAATCAAAAGCGATATTGGACTTCAATCGAGTAGATGCAATGACGCTATGGAGTGGCAGCTTCGACTCCAGACTTCCCACCGCTGAAAGAATCCTGCATTTGCAATCAACTTAATAACAAAATAATTTTCGGCATAAACATCGACGATACTTTCTCTGTCTTTCCGTTTCAAACCAAAACCTCGACCTTTGCCACTTGAGCTATAGTTTTATTGAACAAATGAATGTGAACACGCACTTATTCCAATTGAATAACTGAAATTGATAATGGAATACATATATGAAACTACATGTGACCTGTACCTTGAAGTGGCAGTAGGGAAGTTTCTAACTGAAGAAGAAAAATGAGAAGTCGGGATGGGTTTTGGAGCTAGGGTTTTGAGTATTGTGTTGGAGCGAGTGCACATGGATCTCCCAGTGGCCATGACGGCAGATCTACACGCCATAGCCATTTCTGTTGGCTGTTGCGGTGTATTTGAGGTTTTGGACTGGGGACGAGGGATAAAGGTGAGCGGCCCCAAACTCCCTCAGCTTTGTGGAATATAAGCGCATTATCTAGGGTGGGATAAAACTTGCCAATTGAAACGACCCAACTGAATCGAATCTAATCGAGATTAGTAGTTTTTCAAAGTAAAATATTTGAAAAGGTATCAAAATTGAGAATCGATGAGATTAGTTCGATTCTAGACGAATAATTGAATAAGAATATAATCCCTCTATTCTTTTTTATTAAGTAAGCCAAATTATATTTAATTTTTTTCTAAATAAATTTGTCAACTAGTTAATTGAACCCAAAATATCATTTTTGTCTTCAGCTCAAACCTAACTCTGTTAGTTAAATTTCAAAGAATTAAAATTAAATGACCTAGGTTTTTCTCAATCAATCTACAATTTCTCAAATAATCGAAACGGAGCAACTATGTCTCTCTTCATCTTATCCTTTTTTCTGTTATATTCATTTAATTTTATCCATTTTGATCGAGGTAAGCTTCATCTCATTCCTATATAATAGTTTAGCACGCTCAATGTATAAACATTATAAGTTATAATTGGTACTCAAGATGTTTATTATCGTGCATTTGTTTTCTTTTTTCATAGTAGTTACCTTCATTTTCATATTATTTATTTTCACCCTTTTTTACCGCATATTTTTCACATTTCTTTTGGTATGATTCCCATATTGAACATGTCGTTAGTTGGATCGGTGTAATAGTGTTGTAAAATGTTTAAATATTTAATTGTTGTACGGACCTAAGCAAAACCGAACAACACGATTTCACAATTAAACTAAAAAAAATTGACAGTTTCACTTATTAATTACTCAAAAAATCTCGATTTTCTTCGATTCTCCTTTGAATAGAACGGAATTTGACCATGTTTAGCCCTAGTATTATGGTTCAGTTTAGAGAAAATTAGAGATTGGCCTTTTATTGCTAGAAACTAAAATATTGAGGATTGGTTTGCTACGACATGAAAATTGAGAAGCCACTCGCTCCATTTAGGGCGGGACTAGTTGTGATTTTTTTCTTTTCGATTTTAAAATAAATAATTCATGTGTTATTAAGATATTTTGAAGGAAGTGGATAGTGGTGTAAAAATAGGTAGGCTAGTTAAGAAATTGGCATGGCTCGGTATTGGTAAAGGATCGAATCGTGAGCATTCACGGGCCAAACTGTAAAAATATCACTAAACTCGAATCGATCAGAATAAAAGTAAAATTTTGTTACTGATGCACATCCACCAACCTAAACAACCTTCAATGAAAGGTTGTTAGCGATGCCCTTTAATAAAAGGCTATTGTCATAGCCTTTAAATTTGGCCGATGGACATTTAAAATCCAAATTTTATTTAGTTTTTAATATTAAAATGGTCGATTTTTTTAGTTGGTGACCTATGGATCGACCAACTCGGATTATGAGGTCGACGGTAACTTTAACGGATCTGTCCTATAGAGATAGAGGCCATGTTATTCCCGCCTAATTTGACACCACTAGCGATGGACGTGAGCAAGTTGGCTTTGTAAATTTGCAATTTACGTCCTTAGATTTCTCTGAAATTAATTTAGTTTTAAATAATATTTAGTGGATTCGTCGAACTAGTAACCCTCACGTTTCTCTCTTTATTAGCATTTTTGGTGGGTCAAAATGATTCGGCGACATTAGTTGATTGGCGGAGTATAAAAGATTATTTACCCTAAATCCTTTTCTTAACCAGTTGTACAACTTACATCTACAAGAGTACTGTATTCCGTTACTCGTCGGCTGCTAGACCGTGTTCCGCCGACGAGGATTTGCAAAGCGATGGCGGAAGAAGCTGTATTAGGTCATCTAGAGAAGAATGAAGAGATATCGGATTCAGGGAAATTCGCCGAGGAAAAGGGAATCAGTCACGATGAGATCGTCAATGTCATCAAGAGCCTCAACGGTTTCCGACTCGTCGACGCTCAAGTCAGTATAAACATTATTATCAGATTGCAATTCATATTTTTCAAAATTTTATTTTTCATAAAAAATAGTGCATTCAGAGGAATTACAAGTGTCGAAGAGTTTTTGCTGACTGTTTAGCAGTCAGTTTATTGGAGTGGTACTATGTGTATTTAAAATGTTTTAACATTTTATCTAAGGATAGGAAAATCAAGGAAGAAAGATGGAGAAACTGATTTTTTGTAAATTAAACTAGGACCAAGGGTTTTGTTGATTCCTTTGAACCCAGATTTCTAGTTGTTAAAAGTATATCCGTTCTTCCAATCGGTGAAAACAACATGGCCTGGTTGATGAATTTTGCTGCGTGGATATTGTGCAGGACATTAAGAGAGAAAGATGGGGGCTCACCAAGGAGGGGGAAATGTATGCTGAGTCAGGATCTCCTGAAACCCAACTCTTTTTAGCTATACCACTAGAGGGTATAACACGGGAAGAGTTGCAGGTGATTCCATATTAATTTTTCTGGTCCATGGATTCCTAACCTGATTTATCATATAAGATTTGTTTATTGTTTATTCTTACGATTGATATTACTTGCCAATATAACCTGCCATATAAGACACTGTAATGGTTTATGTAAGAAAATTGACGAAGCAATAATAATGAAATCCTGGATGCCCCATCCCTTACATTCCACTAATCCAATTTTTATTTATCATTATCACTAGGACCTAAAACCATTAATTTTTAACTGCCATAAATGACCATTGCCTCTGGGTCTATTTTACCCCCGACCCATGAGGACACCACCTGCAGTCACACCCATAATATTACCTCTCTCTCCCAAAGTTTCTGAGGTTGCTTATCCTTGATTATCAATTAACATGATGGTTCAAAAATGGAAATTTCGGAATTTCACTTCACCTTGGTGTGATGTCAGCAGTGCACATGCCCCTGCCAAATTAATTTTTTATTTGGAAATTTTATTGTAAACTAAAGGAACAGCCTGCTTTTAGAATTTGTACCGTAATTGTTTATTTTGTGACGAATGCAGTGCATATGAGTTTTTCTGTGTGTGATAGTTTATCTATGTGCTTATCTATGTGCTAATTGATTCAGAGTTTAGAATTCATAAAACTGCAAATTGTTTTTGCTACAATTGAACTTGTTCTGACTTCAAAATATTATCAACTAACATATACTTTTGGATTGGTTTTTGCGAGTCAATTGTATCTATATGCTGTACCATACTTGGAATACATGCTAATGAACATTTTTTCTGGGATGCAGAAAAAGTTGGACTCCTCAATTTTCAAAATAGGTTGCCAGCAGGCCATAAAGAACAAATGGATAGAGATGGGTAAATCACATGTATCCAGGAAGGTAATGCCCCCTGAAAATCTGAGCTTTCCAATTTTGTGTGAAAGTTTTACTTTAAGCAATCTTGTAATCATAGAACTTCAAATCGCGTGATATTTACAGCTCTGAATATCTGAAAGAGGTAGGGATGCCACTATTTTGTGGGATAAGTTTATTTAATAATGAGCATCTCTTTTGAATTACTAGAAGCCTAATTATCTTGTCAGAGTGAATGTTCATGATAAATTATAAGTACTTTTTTATTCCCTAAAAATCTTTCAGATTCTCAAGCTACTGTTTTTATTCAACTGATTCTTCATTCAATTCTTTCTCCACTTAATTCTTCAATTCTACCTGTGTGCCTTTAGTAATTTCGTACAGTTCAAGATAAGTAGAAAGATATATATCAGGATTGTACTTTTCACTAGGGTGTTCATTATAAAACCAATTGAAGAAAGTGAAAGATTTAGGGTGTATTTTAAGTGAGGATAAATGACTCATTAAAAAAATAATAAAATAATAATTAAAAAAAATTATGAGGGGAACTGTTTCCCCTCAATTTCCTACCTTTTGTGGAAAGAAAGCTATTTTTCCCATCAATTTGGTATAATGGAGATGTTATGGAAACAATTTTTTTTTTTTTTTTTACTTTTTCTGTACTTCATTAAGTAATTTAAGATTTCCACACATGATTAATATAAAAACAAGGTAAAACTGTAAATTTCACTTAAGTTCATTCATCTCTGTCCCTCCGACCAAACAATGGAAACCAGTATGCTTTTTCCGTTTTTCTCTTACCATTCTTTTTCATCTTCCTCCTACTAAAATCACCTTATGCTTATGAGTGCTTTAGGAAATCTGGAATCTTTACCTGTGTTCTTTCTCAATTATGTATTAATCGTCAATATGTTGGACGGACATAGTGATTAAACGGAATATTTACTTCAGTTTGATAGCTGTGCCTGTATGACTGTTTTGGTTCGTCAATAAAGTCTTTAATATCTTTGAGAATATTAGGCTTTCTGTTGATTTGTGATTTGCAGAGTCAATACTTGCATTTAGATGCCTTTGGTACAGCTTAATCAACCCATTATCATGTCAAAGTCAATCTATATTGGGTACAAATAGCCTCTGAATGTTTTGTTTCTTATTTTAATATTGTGGTAGAACTGTAGAAGCACAATGCATGTCACGTGTGCATAAAAAGCTGTAGAAATGGATTTTTTTACAGGGTAATTAACACAACACGTCCCTACCTTTCAATGTTATTGTGCAAAACGTCCTTATCTTTCATTTTTTGACATTTTCAACCCTATTTTCACCTTTCATCTCAATAAAAAATGTGAAATGACAAATATAACCTCCTATTTAAATAAAATAAAAAGAAAAGAAAAGAAAAAATAAAGAACAAATTATAATTATTCTCCTAAACTTTTTAAAAAATTGCAAACAAGTCCAAATAAGTTATTAAAAGGGTAATTAGTATAATTCGTCCATATATTTTATGTTTTGGCATTTTCATCCTTATTTTTACATTTCATTGCGAAAATCATCATTTTCATTCATTTTCTTCATTAAAAGATGTAAAATGATGAATATACCCTCCTATTTAAATAAAATAAAAATAAAGAAAAGAAAAATAATAAAAACAAATTGAAACTATACTTAAAAATCACTTTGTTTTTTTGTTATTTATTTGAAATTTCTCTGTACTTTTTTTGAAAATTTTGGGAGTATAGTTGCAAATCGTTCTTTATTTTTTATCTTTTATTTAAATAGGAGGGTATATTTGTCATTTTATAGCTTTTAATTGAGAAAATGGATGAAAATGATTATTTTCACAAAATAATGTGAAAATAAGAGTGAAAATTCCAAAAAATAAAAAGTATGGATGTTTTTCACAATAATATGGAAAGGTAGGGACCTTTTGTGCTAATTACCATTTAATAATTTATTTGGACTCCTTTGCAGTTTTTTTTAAAGTTTGAGAGCATAATTGCAATTTGTTCTTTAATTTTCTTTTCTTTTTGTTTTATATAAATAGGAGGGCATATTTGACATTTTACATATTTTTATTGAAAAAAAGGACATTTTCCACAATGAAATGTGAAAATGCTAAAAAATGGAAGGTAAGGACATTTTGTGCTAATTACCCTTTTTTTACATGATGTTGGGGATTATTTATATTTTTAAAAATAATAATGCTTTTCATACAGAACTATTCTTATTTTAATCATTTGATGTAGGTACAACATGTTGATGACAGAGTGAGAGATCTGCTCATGCAGATTCAAAATGGGGAGGTGCATAATAATTTTTGAATGAATAGCTTTTTATCTATCTTTTTTTCCCCTTATGTATGTACATATTTGTGCATATGTGTTTTATGGCTTCTTACATCAGCTAATCTTTGGAAAATCCTATATTTAAACAATAATATCAAGAATGACACGAAAAGTCGAAACAGGGCAATGTATAATTTGATTATTATAAACAAAATAAAATATTTTTCAGACAGAGCCAATAGAATCCGATACATAAACATGTTACCTTGTCCTTAAGTTATATTGAAATTCATGAGCTAAGGAGTTAAGAATTAAAAATTCTTGATTACCAAAAATAGAATAAAAAACATATTATATTTGTTGAGCAGTGGAAAATTATTTTTCGGTCCTCATTGTGTATCTAAATAATTGGATCATTTCTTTGTGGATTCCTTGACTTTCTTGAAATATATTTTTCATATAAAGTGAAGCTGTTTGACAAGATGACACGCAAAGGTCAACTTTATTGAAACTACTTTTCATGAAAAATCAAGGTCTGAGTTTGTGTTGTGTTGCTAAAATGTTCAGATGTGCATATTTTTTAAGGGATGCATGGATTTTTTTCATTTTTAGCAAGTATAGATTCGTGTCTCGTTCTCCTGTATATTTCTTCACAAAATAGGAAAGAAAGATACACTTTCCAAAAATTTCAACGAGGCTTGTATTTGCAAGACTTTTAGCGTGCTGTTGTTATGCGTGTATATGCTTTCCGTTGGGTATTAAATAGAGCACCATATAAGCTAGTCAATTTCCTCAAAGCTTTATTTGCTTTGTGAGACAGGGAGATATAAAAGATCTAAAACACAATTTAGATTTATGCATCTCTACTTTATGACCCTCTGATAATTTAATTGCCAACTGGTACAATTCTTATATTGCAGGCAGTCAACGCTGAGGATGTTGATGCTCTCAAAAAAAGAAAGCTTATTACTCCACTGTAATTATCTATATTTGGTTTTTGTTCCTCGTTCATTTTTTTAAAATGCTCTTTCTAGTTGTCTAGTTAAGCATCCATATTACTACGAGATGTGTTATTTTGTGATTATCTATCTGCTTCTTCTTCAAGGATATGGAAAGGCTATTCAGTTAAAAAGGGTCCTAAATATGCTCCAAAAAGGAAAAAGGTGGCTACCGATCTAACTCGAGAGAATCTGCTAAGGTAATCAATATGTGTATACAACATGCCTGGATAGTGTAGTTTGATAAACATATTATATAGCAAATAGAAATAATAAAGAGTTGTTCATGGATAAATTGCAATTTGCACCACAAAACTCAAACCCTCCTTTTTATTTCTTCCTTTTGAGTGTGTGCGCGCGCACGCGTGTAATCTTATAGGCATTTTTTATAAAATTTTGCTGCAGCTTACTTTATAGCTTCTTGCTCTGAAAGAGTACTAGTTATTTGTTGCCTCAATGTGTAGAGAGAGTGAATGGGAAGGTGTCCCTTTCTATTTGTTCAGGATGTATGCTTTTCTAGCAAGTTATTTCTCTGAAAAAAAAAAAAAAAAAAAAAAAAGGGGTGCACCCTACCTTTTCTCCTTTAGGGTCTCTGTTGGTTGGTTTAATCCTTGTATACATTAGTACATTAAGATGTGGCTGTTATTAATCTATGATGGTTTTGTTGGGTTTTGCAGCTTCTGGAACTTCGATGCACTGTTCCAGCCTCAACAACACCCAGCTCGTGATTCGCATGATACATTCTTTTTGAAAGGTAGGTTTAGCTTTTATATCTTGGATATCTGGTGTCTTGTCCAATCTTTGTCAGATTTCTTATGGTAATAAATATTTCACAGAGCCCTCTACTACAAAAATACTTCCTGAAGATTATGTTGAGCGGGTGAAGGGAGTCCATGAATCTGGTGGTTATGGGTCCAGGGGGTAGGCGACTGCATAATGTTTACATTTAGTCCGTGTCACTCTTGAAGGTTTGTGTCAAATTTTCCATTTCTTCTAGGTATGGGTATGAATGGAAGAGGGAAGAAGCAAACAAGAATCTTCTGCGGACTCATACTACTGCCGTTTCAACCAGGATGCTGTATGCACTTGCACAGGTATTTTTTTCTTTTTCTTTTCTTTTAGGGCCTGTATACAAGTGCTCTTTTTTTGTGTGCACAAGCTTTCTTGTTTTCACTCCTTTTCTCTAATAAGTATGATATATTCAAATGTTTAGATTAAGGTCCCATCCGTTTGATCCATTAACTAGTTCTCTATCTTTTTTTCTTCTTCATTTTATAAGCTTGTATTTTTTGTTCCTTGAACTGTGTAGCATCTTTCTACTTATTTGCTATTCAAGCTTCATATATCTTCGGTGAATATCTGGCTGCTTATGAAACTCTTTACAGGAGAGTTCCCTTCATAAGAAGTTATTCATGACCCATGATATTAGGCACATCTTTGTTGAATTTAAAGGTTTATTTATTGAATATTATTAGTGCGTCCTACGTTGCCGCGTGTTTATTCTCTTCGGTTATTGTTCAATATTATTTTCAAAGATGTCACACAAGGTGTTGGGAATGGGGATGAGGTTTCTGGTAGCATATTCTTTACAAGTCAACTTTATCTCCACTGTGCTATCATTCAAGGAGTTTTCTTTTGGGCAGGACTTTGCTCCCAAAAAGTACTATTCAATAGATCGTGTTTTCAGGAATGAAGCCGTGGATCGGACGCATCTTGCAGAGTTCCACCAGATAGAAGGTATTTTGCATTCTCTAAAGAACTTCAAATAGGGTTCAAATAGGGTTCCATGGTTCGATTCATGTTGCCTGTCAAGCTGTGAAGGAGGACTCAATAGGGTGATTGCACAGCTGTTGCTATTCAAATTTAAAACCAAAATTCTGATTGCCTGATGTGGTTCAACCCCAGCTAATAGTAGTTTCACAGGTCAATATATTTTCGTTGATGACATGGATTTAGTGACAGTAAATCCCACATCGTAGACTGGGAGGAAAGAAATTCACTTATGAATTTGAAAGCTTTTTCTAGAATTGTCTGCTTGTTCTTGGGAAGCTTCCACGTGATTCTGGGTATGGGCCACTGAGGATATGGAACCCTTAAGTTGGTCCAAACTCCATGACTTGGCTATATTCATTAGAATTATTTTGGAATATGTAAGGAGAGTTGCTACAGCCAGTATGAGTTTATAGATAATCCTGTTTCTTTGGTTGACATAGTACACTCCTGCATTTTATCTGCTTATTAACTGACTCTTTCATATGGTAGGTTTAATTTGCGATCGTGGGCTTACTCTTGGACATTTGATAGGAGTTCTTGAAGATTTCTTCTCTCGTCTTGGTAAATATATCTGCCTTTTATTTTAGGAGCTCCTTTCAAGCATTTTACATTTTTATGCCCTGATAATTCAAGATTTGATCGACATGAAGCTTTGTTAACCTCTGTCTCGTAACTTCTCATGACGTGCCTTTGGAAAAGATTTATTGATGGCAGAGTGCTGACAAATGTCCTTGTATCTCTTGATTTCAGGAATGTCAAAGCTTAAATTCAAGCCTGCTTACAATCCATATACGGAACCCAGCATGGAAATCTTCAGGTAGTAAAGAAAGATCATTGTTTGAAACTACTGTAGCATTCCCACAAATAGGCTAATTCAATTGTATTCCATCAGTTATCACGAAGGTTTAGGGAAATGGGTCGAAATTGGAAACTCAGGCATGTTCAGACCTGAAATGCTGCTTCCCATGGGGCTTCCTGAAGATGTTCAGGTTATTGCATGGGGCCTTTCCCTTGAAAGGTTGGCAAAATCTTGACATTACAATTACTTTTCTTGCACATTACGATCTTAATATTTTACTTATTGATTATTGACATTCTTGTATTCTTTACTTATACAGCTCTTACTAACCATTTTTGTGTTGTCTAATAATTCTTCTTCCAATTTTCTTCACTTCTACATCAGACCCACTATGATACTTTATGGGATCGACAACATTAGAGATCTCTTCGGACACAAGGTAAAATTGTCTTGTATCTTTTGTACCGAGGAGATGTGTTTTCTTACATACTAGTTCGGTTGCATGATTCTGTGATCGGGTTTTGCAGGTGGATCTTGGTCTTATTAAGAGGAACCCATTATGCCGCCTTGGTCTTTAATTGATCCAAACCATTCCATATGAGAGTTTTTCCTTAAGTTCTTTTATGGTGACTTGTCCAAAAAGCTTAAATTTGGATTCCAGATACACAAGTAATCGAATAGTGAGTTTTATAAACCATTTTGTAGCAATGCTAAGAAATGCTCCCAAGGCATCTGTTGTGGTATTGTTAGATGGGAATTTGTTGATGCATCAACTTTAGATTGAACCTTTTCAAGGCTGTGGAATCAATCCTTGAATTCGTTACTTGGCAATGTGGCTTTCTTGTGTTGTGTATTTTGTTACCTCTTATCTTAATGTGCTGCAACATTTATCATTTGTTTGATGGTAAGGTCTAAGGTGGAATATATGTTACTGAATAATAAAAGTAAATCCTAAAGAATAAAACTAGGTTAAAGTTGGGTCCATTTTACTATCCAATCACGTCTCCTAATGATAGTCTTGGTGATTGTAGATTGTAGTGGTTTATGTTATGTTATTATCTAGTAAAAAGGGATTCACAAGTCCTTTATATTTATCATTTGTTCCAATTCTTTTGGTTTAAATGATCAGCAACAAAACGCTCATTTGGTAGGGCTTTTGACATGTCAAAAGTTACTTCTTGAAACTGAGAAGATGCTTTTACGCCCTTCAAGATTATTTGGTTAGAAGAGTTTTTTGGACAAGTTGTGGTCAAATTGCTCTCATAAAACTCTTCTGAAGAAGGGCATAAATAGAAGTAGAAGTCTTGCCAAATTGTCCTAAAATATCCTTCTATATTAACATTTACATCGAGACAACATAAGTTTATACAAAACAATATACAATTGAATATGTTGTTCCTACCTACATATGTGTTTTTGAGAATCACATAGCATTGTTTTGTACGACCTCGTCATCTTGACCGTCTAATGGCTGCTCATACATGATACCAGCTTCGACTCTTCTGCATCTCCTCACTGCAGCATCGACTCTCGTATTGAATTCTTCGTCTGTGCTTGCCAACATGTACCGCAGCTTAAAATTAATCCGATTTTCCACCATGATCTTGTGCCTAGGAATTATTCGCTCGTCAAGCGAATAACTGAAGAACCTGTAGTACTCCCAAAACTCAGTATTTGAAGAATGGCATGGATCATGCGTAGATAGAGATACATGAAATGAAGAACTTAAATTTGAAGATAATAGCTGGAAAACCCGTAGTGATCTCAGTACTCAGTATTCGAAGAATAACTCATCATGCATACATGGAGATTCGTGCATGCACACAGCCACTCATGAGCGTATAAATGTTTGTATATTTACGAATGGAAAACTTAAATTTGAAAATAATTGCTTAAATTTGGAGGTTTACATTGATGATGTGTACCTTGGAAATTCAATAAGATCCTGCAAAGGACGAACCATCACTCTCCTTAAGTAACGGTACTTGGGACGAAGGACATCTATGTTATAGCAAAGTAGCATAGGAAAATCAGCTACCATTCCACCCAATACTGGAAGTGGTATACCAAGTGATAAAAAGTATTTCACATTGTGATCTAGTTTATTCACAATGCTGCATCCTAAAACCTCTGGCCCTAAAGCAATCACCTTCCCAATGTTCTGTTGGGAAACCCCAGCTTTTGTCAACAAGAAAATGACCTGCATAAATGCCAATAATTGGAGGAAGATACCAAACTTAGAGACAGGAATCGACATTAAACTTTAGGCGTCCAGCAACGCAATCTTTCAAAATGACAATGACAGAAATACCCAAGGAGCACGTAGCATTTTGAAATGACCTTTACAAATTAAAACCTTCTCTGGTCAGCAATTAACCATTTTTTCAGATAACATTATTACAGAGGTAACAAGAGACGAGCAAAGAAAGAAAAAAAATTGTACCACTGGGCGTATCTTTTTGTAGAGTCTGTATGTTAATAATGAGGGAAATCTGGCAAGAACCCTGCCTATGGCATCTTCTTGAACGCCTATATCTCGTAGAAATTGAACCTTGAAAAAACCGAAGTGGAATTTGTTAGTGTTAACAATGAAGTGCTTCAGCATCATTCACAAATTCCCAAATATAGTTCCGTATTTTCTGAAGTCATCAAATATAAGTTGAAAAGAAGTCCAACAGCATAGTAAGCCAGCCAGTTGGGCAGCGCGTTGGATTCACAATGAGCATTTCAAAGAAAGTTAAGTTTAGATTGTATGGAAAGAAAGGTATACCTTTGGCACAATGGTTTTCTCAAGATCGACACAAAAAACCATTGGCTTCATATTGAGGATTCTTCTCATACCATCTTTAGAGATCCCAAGGTAATAGAAATACTTAACAAGAGGATTCCATCTATCTTCAATGCTGCAAATCATCAGTTGCGGTTTAAATGCTAAAAGTCTCCCTACATCTTCATTATTGAGGCCAAACTCCTTTAAATAAGCTACCTGCATAAAAGAGAGCCAAACATCACTTTGGAACTTACTCAAATTCACACTTCTATAAGCAAACATTTCCCGGCACTATAGAAACAATTACATTAAAATTAGAAGTAAAGATAATAATGTTCCATTTTGAAATATTCCATAAACTATGACAATAACGGGAAAACTAAAAACAAGGGAGTTTAAAAAGGTACCTTTTGGTTCATCTCTTCCACAGAGAGGTAACCAAACACCTTGGGACAGTCAAAAAGCATCGTCCCAAAGTCATTTCTATCCATACCCATGTTCAAATAAAATTCCGTTCGAAACTTCACTTCTTCCATGTTAAAGGACAAGATCTCGGGACATCGGCTAATGACATAGCCCATCCAATCCCTCCTCAGGCCATTGTCCTCCAAATAATCAACAATCTCATCCAACTCCTCTAAGCTGCGTTCTAATATATTTTCTCTAGTTCGCGTCAATGCCACACCTATAAATCGTCCTTTCACATGGATCAACTTCAACCATTCAGCCAACCTTCTTATGGAATCAATATTTCCTCTTGAAGTGCATATAAGCCTCCCAATTTGGGGATACGAAAGTGAATTGTGTTTCAACCATCTGCAAGAAATTCAGTATAGAAAGCCTTCTTCTCATGTATTCAATTCTTTCGTGCAATGTGATACAACAGAATAATTCATTCAAGATTCTGAACTAAAAGAATAATTCATCCAAGATTCCGAACTAATAAACAACACAAATTGTTAACACAAATTCAATCATATAGTCCTATGGATTATGGAAGTGGCAAAGACAAAAAATCCTTACTCTACGTAAAGATCACGTACCTTATAAGAGCCACAACATTAGAATCAGCAATGAAGGCCTCGGCCCGAATATTATATGATGACTTTGAGAATTCAGGCAATTGCTTCATGGAAGCAGCCTGAATCATAACATAATCGATAAAATCAGACAATCTAGAAGCCAAATTATTAATATAAGTAATCCCAAACTTGCCCTTTCTCATAGCATCTTTGAAAATCTCTACAGTCACTTTCCTCCTTATCTCAAGCGCCTTCATTAGCATCCCATCATCATACTCACTTTTTTCACTTTTGGAAGAACTCTTAGCAGGTGGTGAAGAAGCATTAGCGTAAATAGAGCCGGGAAATTGAGGTGCCCTTTTGTTTACAAGTGAAGTTTCCAACTGCCTTTCTTTAGATTCTCTGTGCAATAGTGGTTGATTTTCCTGTTTTTCAGGTGGTGGTGAATGTGAGTTCTGTTGTTCTTGGGGAGAGAGGTGGCGGAGGAGTAGGGCGGTGGACTGGGCGTTATGAGTACGCAGAATGTTATCTTCATTATGCAAATTGGTGGCGGTATCTTGATTTTGAAGGGCTTGGGGTTGGGGGGTGGGGGTGGAGGTGGAGGGAATAGGTAATTGGGAAGAGGTGGGGGAATTTGGATGTGTTGGTGGCTGGAGCATCTTTCCGATTGGTTTGGTGGAGGACGGCGGAGAGATAGTGGAGTTGAAGCTGAGACGCGAGCATCTTTCAAAGGAAGGAAATTGGATAGAGGTGTTCCGTGGTAAAACAAGGTAACTAAAGGAAAATTACAACATTATCCCCATATTTGATACTTATATCAATTTGACCTATAACTTTTATACAAAAGAACGTAGAAAGTCCAGTATTTCAATTTCATTCACCTTAGTCCCAATTAACATTTTCCTTCCAATTGAAGGTAAAAATGCCATAGTTTTAAGGGTGAATTTTATAAAAAAAAAGTAAATAATTTTCTTTTTTAATGTTTATCCCATTTTCTTTTTCTTTTTCTTTTTCCTTTTACATTATTGTTCTTGCTTTTTTTCTTTTTTTTTAACCTGTTTATTATTAAGCTCATTTTTGTATTGAGCTTCTATTTTTCTTCAAAAAATCAAAATTTTCTATTAACGATTGTAGGTCCTAGGATAAGTTATATAATTGATCTTTGTTAGAAATGTATATTGTATCCGTGAAATACCATCATCTAAGATTTGGCTAGATTTATATTCAATCCTAAATTTAGTCCTACACTATTTGAAAGTTCCAATTTTATTTCCAACATAGAGATATTTATTAGTGGCCCACTATTGGGTGAAATGAAATGAGGGTAAATTGTTACCTTTTAGCAGCCTATGTAAAGGGAAAATTGAAAAGTAGTGATATACAACTGTTGGATATAGATTGAACATTTACTGAAATTGATGAATGTAAATATTATTTAAATAAAGTGAATCGTTCAATAATTTGCAGAATTTACTAACAATAGATTTTAAGTCGGACCAAGCAGGGGCTAAAACTCATTTGAGTTTTACTCATTACAACAATATAAATGTCCAGTCAAACTATTGGGGCAAATAGGATGAACTTGCTCATGTTTAAATATTATGAATCAATATACTAAAATGATCAAGTATAAGGACCAACACTGCAATTCTACCTAAACTAAAATAAAAGTGGGGTTACAGTGATGAAATGAAAACCCGAGTTCCCCACCATCAAAATCTACGGAGTTGGAACTTGGAAGCAAACTTGCAGAATGATACGAGGAGTAATAGTGATGAATGATAGAGGCAAGCCTCGTCTCGTCAAATTCTACGAATTTCAGGTTTGAATTTCAGATTTTTATCAAAGAAAATCAAATCAATACATTCCTTTGTTAAATCATAACTTGATTTCGTGTTTTCTTTCTTATTTTTCTGATCGAATTGATCGTTCATTATTTAAATTTTATAATTAGCCTGCGGAGAAGCAGCAGGAGCTCATTAGAAGCATTTACAGAGGCAAGCTCCTATTTATTTACAGTCAGTTCTTTTTTTAAGCTTTCCACCTTGCCTTTATTTTTCCCCTTTATTACTGCATTTATCCAGCTATTTATGTTTTTTCCTCCTGCAATATTGATACTTATCTATGTTTTGGCCTCCTACAAGACAAGATTTACGGTTCATTACGTTTAACAAGAAAAAAATTCTTCTTAATTTGTGAAGTTGACTTACTAGGAGGTTATGTGGTGCAGTTCTATGCAGTAAGGGGCTAGAGGCTGGGGAAAGTAGTAAGCACTGTATTTATACCTGTTTGAACTGATCAATGATAATTATTTCTTTCATACTGGAGTATCCTGGGGGGTCTTGTCCTGAGTGCATCTCTTACTTAAAAATCCAAATATAATACTTGCAGGATGTGCGGCTTGTGTACAAGACTTATGCAACTTTGTACTTTGTATTCATATTTGATAGCTCAGAGAATGAGCTTGCAATGCTAGATCTTATGCAAGGTATGTATAATCCATTATTTGATATGAACTTTTACTCTCACTTCATTGACCTTCTGCATAATTGAAGCTGTTAAAATATTAAACAATGACTTAGCTTAGAAGCATAGATCAAGTAAGAAAGAAAGGTGATTCAACAGTATGTCTGATTCTGCCCGCGTGCTTATTTTAAAATGTATAGGCGATTTTACTGTATACAAGTTGTATCCTGGAATGCAGGTTGATTTGTGAATTGTGTCTCCACTTATCATTATTATAATATTTACCAGCATTGGACATGTTTTGTAAAATCCTATTTATTGAGCTTGGTGATTTTATTTAGCTTTGGAACTATTTCTGGTTTCCCGCTGACGTAGAAGAGCATAAAAACCTAACCATTGTTCTGTTCCCATTCTGAGATTTGCACTTGTAGTATTGTGTTTCAGAGACACTTGTCTGTTTTCATTGGTTTGTTTATTTTACTCCATTAAATTACAGTTTTTGTTGAGGCATTGGACAAGTGTTTCAGTAATGTTTGTGAGATTGACGTCGTATTCAACTTTAACAAGGTTAGTATTCATCGCTTTAAACTTAGGAAAAAAAAATGTATGAAGAAGATAACTGTTTGTTTCAAGCACATTGGTTCCCAATCATATTTACTGATATTTCCAAAGCAAAGTGATGCAAAATCATTCTTAATGTACTACTAGTTGATTACGGCCAACCTTTTTCTATTGTTATTGCCATTTCAAGCATGTAATGAGCAATTGACAGTTATTTTTGCTACGCTCACCAAGATTTCATGTGATCAGAAATTGATATATCGGAGCCACCAAGCATTGGTTGATGTCTATTAACTTCTTATTTAGGTCATATCACTTTGTATTTTATTTCACTAATGAATTTTGTTGCTATTACATTTGCCTCATTCCAATATATTGGAAATTGCTCTGGTACCTAAAGATTAATATCGTTGCAAATGCATTGAATTTCTGATTACTTATTCGATACATGCTTCTTTTGTTGAGTGCTTAATCTATTTGAAATTTCAAGAAGCCTTTCAAATCCTTGTTCTGTAGAATCATGCTAGTGACTGCCTATGGATATATTTCATGTTTGAGCTTTTTAGCAGGTGCATACTATTTTGGATGAATTCATTTTGGGCGGTCAAGTTCTCGAGACAAATTCTTCAGAAGTTGTGAAGACAGTTGAAGAAATCTCAAAGTTCTTTCTCCCTCCTCTACTCTGTGTATGTTTGATTAGCTTCAGATATTCTTATGGATTGTCAACCTCTTATTTTATGCAGGATGTAGAGGGCTGCAAATTCAATCATGGGCGGTCCATCAATTCCTGGCTGGCAGTGGAGATAGCAGCTTTATTGCTCTAGTAACTTCCTTTATCACAATCTTATGTTGACGGGACAAATGTTGAGACGTTAGAACTTTTCAATAGCGTGTTGTTGCTGATTTATGTATATTTTTTTGCAAGAAAAATATTAAAATTATTTTCTATATTGTGTTGTGTGTCAATGCAGTCAATAAACTAATGTAATTAGCATCTTTTTCAAATGAGATTATTTTCTGCCTATAATCTAATGTCAGTCCTTTGTTCTCTTGTTCTGGTGACACATGAAAACTCATTGCAAAAGATTATTAGCATAATTGGGTTGACCTTTAACTTTTTGAATAGATAACCATGGGACTTGTTGCAATATGTGACCGTTTATATGTTTGTTTCGACGTGGGAACAGTTTCTCTCTAAGTTTGTGTGTGCACTGTTGCTGGTTAAATGTTGGAATTTAAAGATACCAAGCCAAATGCTAGAATCTTGCAGTCGTTCCCATGTTCTTCCATTAAATCTTGACTTTAATTGCATGTTTTGCGGGTGGAGGACCTAACAATTGATTCATTTAACGAAGGCATTACCCAAGTTGTCTATACATCTCTACCTGTAAGATGTTTATGTATACATTGCTAACTTCGAACATTCATCTGTAATCATATTATATCTATCTCATGACGTCATGGCTTTCTGGTATTGACTGTGAAAGAACCATTCCTTTGTTTAGCATCTAGTAGTGGAAAGGAGTCAGTACTTGATGGCCGATAAGATTGTCCATGAAAAGGAGTATCTAACATGGTTAGGGGAATCGAATGTGCTGTGTGGGTTGGCCTTTTATCCTGAAAGAAAGATGATAAGAAAACATATGCAAACTAGTAGAAAAGTTCTGGCCATGCTGCTTGGATTTTTCTGAAAAAATAAAAAATTCGATGGTTCTGTAGGCCCGCTTCAGTTTACACCTCTAGAATCTAAATTTTGCTAATTAGAATCTTAATCTAGGATGTTGGGTATAGTATTTATGAATTTCATTATTATTAAGCCGTCCTCCAAGTTCCAATGTGTAATGAGCTTAAAATCAGAGTTAGGATGGTTCATCTGGCTTTTCGAATATACAGGTGAGGGGTGAGTGCAATTTCATTACCTAAAACTAATACTCACACACACTCAGACACTCTTCTGTAGTTAAGATCATACGGAAAGTTATTGGTTCATGATTCGGTCGCGTGATCATGCAGACATAGCAGAACTGTTGAGTATTTTCCAGATTATGAATGGGGTGACTTTGAAGGGATTATATATACAATTGCCTATCAACAATTTGTAATATAAGGATTTAAATATAAACACACATAATGATACCTAGCATGAGGTCCCATGGTCTAGTGGTCAGGACATTGGACTCTGAATATCTCGGTGGGACCTTATTTTGATACTCACACACTCAGACACTCTTCTGTAGTTGAGATCATACGGAAAGTTATTGGTTCATGATTCGGTCGCGTGATCATGCAGACATAGCAGAACTGTTGAGTATTTTCCAGATTATGAGTGGGGTGACTTTGAAGGGATTATTTATACAATTGCCTATCAACAATTTGTAATATAAGGATTTAAATATAAGCACACATAATGATACCTAGCATGAGGTCCCATGGTCTAGTGGTCAGGACATTGGACTCTGAATATCTCGGTGGGACCTTATTTTTTGGTTTTTTTCGGAATTTGAAGCTTACCATTGATTTGGGATTTGAAGCAATGAAGACTTGTGGTTGTGGGTTATTTTCTTCTTCCGGAAAAACGCATTACACAATATTATAATTTATAATTCAAAGGAGCGCCAATGGAAAATATGAATTACAGAAAATTGTAGCTTGTTTTAACTGAAAACAAGCCTTCAAACAGATGAAGAACAAAAGACAACCACTACCAAACCCTAGTTTTGTCTCCCTCCCCATAAAAGGGAGTCTAAAACCTGCAAACAATTTGAATTTTCCACTTTTCAGCTACCCCCTGAAAATGGATGAAATGTACAGGTAAAGAGTTAACAAGCAATACATCCAAATGTGGAGACTGCTATATTATTGATAAAGAATGAAGTACAATAATCTTCCATTTAGTCATTTTCTCGCTCTACATCTTGCAAGTTCAACGGTTCGGGAAAGATCTCATTGGAGTGTCTTTTGGTTGAGAACGAATGACCATGTCCATCGTTTTGCCCGCTTTCGTCAGAACCCGAATGTTTGAAACTGTTAGCATGTTCTGCTTTTCGAGAAGGGGCAGTAGGCATGGCCGCCACATCTGAGGAGCTTTGACGCCAGCTGCCAAATAGGGCAGCATTCCATGACCCTCTCGAGGAAGTAGTTCTAAGCCTTGCTGAGCTCATCTGCTCGTCTCTTACAACTTTCAAAGGGTTTTCCAAAGCTTTAAGAATATATCTCATTAGAGGCCGTCTCGTGGGCTTTGGATTGAGGCAAGATCTCGCAACAATTGCCATGGCCCACACTTCCTCCAGCAGATCCTCGTCTATGATTAATGAGGGGTCGACAATGTTTGTCACAAGTTCCTTATCATATATACTGATGTAAGGTAATGTCGCTTCTAACCACTCCTTCGTCGTGGTATCATTTGATGAACTGATACCCAACTTGCCTGTTACGAGCTCCAGCAAAACCTTCCCGAAGCAGTAAACATCATAGGCACACGTTGCATTTTTCATACCTGGCCATTTTGAAACACACAGAATTTTACAAATCTTTAATCACCATCAAACCAAATAGACAAAATTATGAAGATTATGTCCATGTTTCCTCCTTTCCGTCTATGTTGCTCAGACTCTATTTTAGAGAAGTACCCGTGTCGGACACATACGACAAGGATAAAGGCATGGGATCCTTCTCGAATCCTTTAAATCAAAAGAGGATCCTTTATATCGTTTCTGTATATATCCCTAAAAATGCATCTAAAATTGTAAGTACACAAGTTTCTAAAGTAATTTAAATTTTATAAGATGTATCTCTGTACCTGTGTCTAAAATTTGGATCCCTTTCAGCCGCATCCCCATATCCTAAATTTTAGAGGAAAAAAATCGACTCCTGAATATGTATCCCATACCAGACACCTACACTTGAGTCCAAGCAACATAGTTTTCCATAAATCTAACTTTCGGGAAAATTTTCTGTCTGTTTCTAGATTCTAATACAAGGAATAATTCAAGTGAATGGTTCTCAAACAACTGCAGAAGTGAAGAGTGTAACTGCAGTTTCATCAAATATTAGATGCATATTAGAAGGAAAATATCGGGAATAAATCAGAACATGAAGCAATATTCAATATTTATTGCTTTGGGAATCTGAGCTCATGGATTAGTTTTCTTCCCTCCATCAAAGCAAGCGAATGTCACTCACAAGTTTTGGAAACTTGAACCAATGATAAGCTTGATATAGACAGGTAATGAATTCTTCCAGTACCAAGACTATAGCAGAATTTCTCTTCAGCAGTCGCCCTCTAACAATGAATTTTAAAACCAGTGGTTCTGTTTTTGAAGACTATAAAACGAGACTTTCCATAATTTCTACTCTCTAATCTTTGGAGTTGGATCAACCCCACATTATAAATCTAGATAGAACGAATACGTCGTTGTCTTGGCAAGGAAATTTATTCAGTGGCATTTTACTGCCCCACCAATAATAGAGAGAGGACAGAATATACGAAAATAACTAATGTTTCAAAAAATCCCACATACCTGAAGTTCCTTGGTCTGATGACCTGCATAAAGAGAAACGAAAACAGTGAGAACCTTGTTTAAGTATACAAGTAAGCTGTACAAGAATACAACAGAATCCTTTTTTCCAATAAATTTGAGTCGGCTACACTAGTAAGCTGTACAAGAATAACTTCACTTAAATCACAAACAAAAGTGGCTTTCTTAAATCTTAATAAACTCATTAGCTGGTCCCAAAATTGATCACGAACATAGAAACTATTTTTCAGTAGTCAACTTCATTTTTATTTTGGCTGAGTGCTTAAAAGTTACTTCTCTATAAAGTAAGTTAAGAAAGTAAGTTCTAAAATTGTGATTGACAAAAAAGTACCTTAAAAATAGCTTTTACTTCTTTTTAAGCTTAGCCAAACATGCTAATATGGTCAGCGTCTCCTAAGTTCCTTTATAAAGCTATAGCAAATGAATATTGAGAAGAAGAAAAAAATGTAGCTTTGATGGACAAAAATACTCACGGTGGCAACCGCAGCAACCTTGTGATACTATTTTGATTAGTGTCCCTCTCTTGAACACAAACTTCGCTCAAGCTTCCTAACCGCACTTCAAATTTATCATCAAGAAGTATGCTGCTGGCTTGAATGTCCCTTCAAGGACAAAAACAAATAATTACCGCCATTAAAATTAACGCCGAGCGAGGTAGATTGAAGGAGATAAAAATCCAGCGAAAGCATTCATTGATTAAATAGAAAAGTTGTGAGAGATTTCATTTGTGCTTAAGACAGTCACCAGAACCAGAACCAGAAAAAAGAAAGCAGTTAATAAATATAGATTTCATGATGCACAGAACAATGTAACCTCTAAACCCCACAAAATTATAAATCTTTACGGTGGTTTGTATCCCTAGAGCAGAAGTATTTGATTAACTTTTGGAACTGTCCTAGGCATAATGGAAATAATGTACTAACCCTAACTTTAGCGTTCATATGAGATCTCCCAGGTGTCTACGGTGATTAAGAAAAAAAAGTTCGTTGCTAAAAGTGTAACAATTGTAACTGATATAAATAAAAGGATAAAATTAACTCTTGGTAAATTGGTTTCTTGAATAACTATAAGAGTATTTGTACCTAAAGGTGTTCAATTTTTCTGGCTGCAAAGTTGTAGGGAATATGCTCTCCCAAAGTCAAAAATACGTAATGAATTAACGGCTTGGGCACAAAGGTCGGGTTGTTAAATTATGTGTATATATATATATATATATTCAATAAATCTATTATAACGAAGTAAAGCTGCATCTCCCTGATGTACAGTCATTTAACTACAAGCGAGGATAAGCACCACTAAAATTGTGAAAGGAAGTAAATAGTGCAAGAATATGACATAGAAACGTACAAAATTATGAGATTTCTGCCTCACTTGAATGCAATCATTATTGCTCTTCCAAGTATGACCAGACATTTCTAGAAGTTGGGTGGTTAATTGACAGTCTCCAATCACCAGCCTAAAGTTGTGGGGGTATACCGATAGCAATGACAAGCAATCATTATTTTCCAGAAACTGTACTCTATTATTGATTTACATCTATTTCCTAGTTTCCAGTCAGACAACATCGGCTATGAATTGCAAATAAATTAAATGAAAGCAGCTCCAGCACCCAACACAAATTTCCTCCATTCTATACACTACACCCTCTATTTAGAAATTAGATGCAAGTGCAGTGTCATGCGTATGTATCTAGAGCGACAAACTAAACCTTAAGCATAACATTCAATTTTCTATGCATCCTAATTCCTTTTATGTTTTCATCTATGAATGAGTAGTCTTATCACTTTGATAAGTACTTTTTAATGCACGCCTACACATAAAGCTCCAAATATGTGCCATGCAATCAGCTTAACATGGAAAATGAAATCAGTAGTAATTTAAGGCAAAAAGGCAAATCACAAATGAAAAAATTGCAACCTAACTAAGCCCAAGAATACCTATGAACAAATGGCGGATTACATTCATGGTGTAGGTAAGATAAACCTTCTGCAGCTCCAATTGCAATTTTCAATCTTGTTATCCAATCCAGTGACTGTAAACTGCCATCATCTGAATTTGTTTTCTTGAACAATGAACTGGATAGGTCTCCATTTGGCATGTATTTGTATATGAGAAACTTCTCATTCTCATTCTCCAAGCAGTGTCCCAATAGAGGTACCAATCTTTGATGAGAAACCTTGCTAAACAGGTCCAATTCTAACATATATGCTTCCTTTTTCACTGATGAACGCAAATCGAATTTTTTTATGACTATAGGGTTTGCATTCTCAAGGATACCGCGGAAGAAGTCACCGGAATGGCCATTCTTGATCAGATTTAGATCACTGTATTCACCCGTGGCTTCAAGAATTTGCTTATAGGTAAATGCGTCTCCTAGACTAGAAAAATTTAGCGATGCTCCAAAAGGAGAACTTCCATTTGCAGGAACAGGCCCCACGCCAATGCTCCTCTGGTTTGTTGCACCAGTTTTGCGCTTGCATAAAATCAGCAGTACAAACACAATTGCCAAAAGTGCAATGAGCCCAGCAGCCCCCAAAACAGATGCCAAAATTATTACTTCTCGGTGGGTCTTGTCAGATTTAGGTGCAAGAGGCTGAGTGCCATTTGGCATTCCAAAATTATCAAACACCAGGCCCCTCTCGGCATAGAATGATGCGCATTCACTGGCACTCCTTTGACTTGCGACATTCCGGAGACAGTTCCTACTTAAAGGCGTGTTTCCACTGGCATAATCTGGAACCCTACCTTGGAGATAATTCCCAGACACGTCAATAAACCTGAGTCTCCCTATTACAGATGTAAGATTCCCATAAAAGAAATTCTGTGAAATGTTAAATACTGCAACACTGGCATTAGCATTCAAGCTTAGATCGGGCAGTGTATCAGTAAAGTTATTTCTCGAGGCATCTAGAAACCGCAATTGGGGCATTGACCACAGCACAACTGGAAAGTCACCAGTGAAGCTATTATGACTCAGAACCAGGTGCTGCAACTGAGTCAAAAGGGGGAACAAATCGCCAGGCAATGTTCCAGATAGGAAATTATTCCCAATTATCAATTTCTGCAAGTTTTTCAGCCCTCTCAGACCAGGGGGAATGGATCCCAATAATGAATTAATACTGAGATCAAGGTCAACCAGATTGGAAAGGTCACTGAGTTGGGCGGGTATAGAAGAGGACAAACTGTTGCCTGAAAGATTCAAGTACTGCAGCCTAGACAAAGTGCCAATTTCCAGAGGAATTGCCCCGGAGAAGAAATTCAAAGACATATCAAGAAACGTAAGGTTCCCAAGGGCTGAAAATGTCCTCGGAATCAATCCTGTGAGGGAATTCTGCGAAAGATCAAGTACAGAAAGGAGCAACAACTGACCTAAACTTGTAGGAACTATTCCAGTAAGATTATTATCAGATAAATGAAGTTCAGCTAAGCTACTCAAATTGCCAAGACTAAATGGAATAGTACCAACGATTGAACAAGACCTGAGATCAAGCACTTGCAGTGAGCCAAGTCGAAGGCCAAACCACTCAGGGATAGAACCCGGAAGTGCCAAATTCGAGGCATTGAATGAGGACAAAAAGGTGAAACTCTGTAAGGCATCAACCAAGAACTGGGGGTTTTGACTTCCCTTTCGAGTCCTCCTGAACCCGGAAACGTTGATCCCTGTAACCCGCCCATTTGTACATTTTATACCCGCCCAGGCAGTACATGGGTCGGATTTTAAAGGCCACTCTTTTGCCCTCAACCCTAATGAAGATCTCAATTGAAGCAGTGCCAATCTTTCTTGCCTTGACACCAAGAATTGCTGCTCTACTGTACAATCAATTAGCAAGAAAAACGACACAACACAGACCAGAACCACCTTGCTACACCGATTCACCATACCTTCATTGAACTTATAATAAAATTGGCTTCACATTCATACATAACCCTTACACTAAAGAGCTATTGGGTTTAGAAAAATTCAGGATTCTAAGAATTATAGAGGAATACACACTTGATAATTATATGTTGCCTTGAAATAAAAGAAACAAACTTTCTGGGGTACCATACCTCAATAGCTACAAGCAATGACGCTTTGATTCTTCAAACTCACAGGTTCTATTTTCTCGAAATGTCTCTCTCTCTCTCTCTCTCTCTCTCTCTCTCTCTCCTATTTCTTTCTTCCAGTTCCAAAGAGGGAGAGGGATTACAAAAATGAAGTCAAAAAAACTGGGCTTTAGATAGACAAGACAATGACAGAAAGATATATGAGAAGTCTATGTATACTTATACGTATCCAGGAAAGGGGACCTTTTGTTGGGGCTTATGCTCACCGTATGGTGGCGACGGAGGGTCCGTAATTTAAGGCAGTTGCCGAGCCTGTTGTTAAAATTTTGAGGTTAAAATCAACAGTTAATTTTATTCCATACATTATTTGAATCACACTTTTTTAATAACAGATCTTCTATAAATTTTTATCAAAAATTTTGCCAAAAAACTCCTTAATTTCTATTAATTTTAAATAATTGTGATTTAATATAAAGTTGGACTTGAAATTACTCGTGTACTTCGTTTTTAAATAAAACTACAATGAGTTGAGTCAAAGTTTCTTGAGCTTCTTTATGGGCTTAGTTGAGTAATAATTGATGGTAATTGCTCAATTAATGTGCTTGTGTGTCCAGTTGTGTAAAATTATAACTAAAATTTAAGTCCCAAAATTAAGTATTAAATGGTGTAAATTTAAATTTTATAAGAATAATACAATCTGATCAGAAATTATTAGAAGCGAGAGCCATATGTAGACGAAATTAATATGGTAAGTTGTGATTGTTAATTTTAATTTGATTCAGACCGTGACATAATCGATGAATCTAACAAATTCAAGAAAAAAGTATAGATGCAATAAAAATGGAATTTATTTTGTATTTACTCTGAAGAACTAGAAATTATACTCTGAAAAACATATATATTTTTAACAAATTTATACGTGAATTTTTAAATGAAAATTTAAATAATATCGACGTCGGAAAATATCTTTTTACACTATAAAGTCCGTTTGATAGACCATTATTTTCCATGAAAAATGGAATTCAAATTCCAACTTTCACTTTTTAGCTGTTTGATAGCATATTTTTTTCTAGATAATTGGTTTTCTTGATTTTCTTGCCACATGGACATTTTCTTGGTGGGAATTGGTTTTCTAGGCTATGCTATCGATTTTTTATTTTTATTTTTATTTTTTTTGGCAATTGAAATAAATTTTATCTCTAATTGTAAAAAAAAAATGTTTTCTTCTAATTGACAATTTTCATATAAAACAAAGTCAAAAGAATACCAAAAGACAGATGATTTTCTACTTTTTTTTGACAATGGAAACAAATTCTATCCCCCATTACCAGTAAATTCTATATTTTTAATTGACAATTTTCATGTAAAATAAAGTTAAACGAATACCAAAAAATACTTTTATTTTAACATTTTTCAAGTGAAAAATTATATCAATCAAACACAATAATTAACAATTCTCAGCAAGACAATTCCCTGAAATTCATTTTCCTTCCACCCAAATTTCATCTTTATAATCAAATCGGCCCTAAATTTTCTCTCATTTCTAAAAAGTTGCACTTTAAAGACCAAGTCAAACACTACCCAAAGTCAACTGTCAACTCCAATTAGGCAACAAATTATTAGTAAAAGCCAAAAACACCCCTTAAAAAGAAGCGACAAAAAATTCCACACGATGTGCCACTAACCTCTTCCAAAACATCTTGTCCGCTTGACATCTCTACAGTCCTAAAATGACCAAAGAATAATAAAATAAATATTATAAAATATTTTATTTTAAGCAAATTAAATCCATGTTTGTTATCTTTTAAAAATTTAAATTGTTTGCTACAAGATAATTTTTCACCATACATTCACACAATAAAATATTCTACACACAAATCAATAAAATTTTCTTATTTTTTAACATTATATTTTCTAAAAAATATTATTCAATAATTTATTATTTCTAAATAAATTGTATCACGCAAGCTCTAAATGCTTTTATCAAAAGAGGATTGATTAAAAAATGAATATAATAATGAAAGTGGAATAATAAGAGTTCAACTTTGACATTTTTCTATTTTTGACCAATATCTCATTGAATAGTCCTTGCCATTTTCCAATTCTAGAAATTTGCAGATTAAGAAAGAAAAGAAGTAAAATTAATATTGGAATTTCTATTCTATTTTCTAGCTTCTTAACCATATATATTTAAACATTTATTATTGCATATTTTGTTTCATTTTTTGAACATTTGAAAAAAAATAATAAATAAATAAATTATTTGATTTTGATATTAACGTGACGGTTCATTCACATACTTTTCTGAGATAAATAGATGTTATAGAAATTTTGCAATGGACAACATTTTGTGGGAAATTTCAATGATTTTGACATGAAATCAACCCCACGTATAATTATTTTATTTTTATAAAAAATACATACAGCTACGAGACTAACTTTCATTGATGTTGCCATACATACATTGTTAAGAGTATATCATACGTGAATTATAGATGAAATAAATAAACAATATTTAAGAATTTGTGCTACTTTTCTTAACTCGTGTTTGATTTAGTTAAAAATCGTATTTTCAGTAAATTTTGGTAAAAATTGATTAAACGTGTGATTGAAAAGTTGATAAAGGCTTGTGAATTTCAACATGATACTATAAAAGAAATTGAAGAAAAATGAAAACCAAACATAGATTTAATAAAATTCACATTTTAGAGATAAAGTCAGGCAGTGTAATATTTTAATTTTGTTTCTTCTTTAATGATGTACAATCCGCCTACAAACTAAAGCAGACTTGTGCAAACTTAATCTAATTGCAGTTGACTCTTAAAAATACTACCCATTATAGCTATGTAATGGGACCGACTGCAAAGAAAGGTTTGTCATGGTAATGTATTAAGAGAAGTGTTGCAATGCCAAGGTGGGGGTTCACAGAACCCCCACGGGCTCCTCACAACACAAGGGGGTGGAGCATTTTTGAGGATTTTTTTCTTTAATAAAGGAAGATCCACCTCATGTGAGAACCCTGTAAAAGCCTGTAAAGTTGAGTTTGTACACACAGTTTTATTGTTGGATTAAACCCCAAAAGAAATTGGGTGAAGGATCTCCGAAACAAGATCCTAAGAAACTAGGTAAGACTCTATCGAAAATTTTAGAATCTCTTAACAAAAAAAAGAAGTTAAATCAAAATACAAATCTATCCACCAATTCATAGAACAATAAACCAAAATTTCTCAACTTCGATATCTCAATGAGGCTTAAACATGGCCTATATTATGTTATTAACTCCACAAACTTGATCAAGTTCAGAGAATCTTTTCACTTTCCATTGTCATTCAATGCAAATTATGAGAAAACGCCTTTGAATATAATCTCACGTTTGAGTGGTACTATAGGGAGTTGTTAAAATGATATTTTTAAGTTTGAGTCCATATTTGTTTGTTTTGTTATTATTTTAAGAAAAAATAAATGATAAAATAATAAGCATTCGAATCACCATTGGTGCGTCCACTTCGTAATTTGTAAATTAGAGAAATTTCTCTCTATGCCCTCAATATTTGAAAAATATGAATAGATTTTTTTTCTTATAGTAGCTTTTGTTAACTACTACTTGTGATCGAGGGTGAATTTAGGGGGAGCATCCTCTAGGCTACCACACCCAAACCCAAAAAGAAAATGTTGTGAATATATTTATCTTATGTATTAGTCGAGCCCAACATATAATTTGTCCGTCCCACATAAATTTCTAACACCGTCCATGAACTCTATTACATCTTGTCAACTTCTATCCTACACATCTCATTCATGCCTCTATAGCGAGAATAAGATTATGGTGTAAGTGAGAAAGGTGTATGGTGGTGGGATAACTTAACAAATTAAGACTTAGATAAGGGGGGAAATGAAGGGGCTTGAGTTGAAAGAAGAAGTCTTATTTTTTTGGGAAAATTGCACTATCATAATATGCTGAATTTTTTTGTCTAAAGCATAAAGAGAGATTTTGAAAGTGCAAATCGAAGCTTCTTAAATAGAAGTTGCAACAACAATCTGAATGCAAAAATCGATCAACACAATTAAGCTATTGTATCGTTTAGCTGTAAACTTCATCAATAGACATTATCATAATCTCGAGCAATGATAGTTTAGTGAATTATTTCACCAAATAGTTACTATATTACGAACCATTTCAATATTTTCTAGATAGAAAAAAAAAAGCAAAAAGTTACAATTATCACCTCTATGTTGGCCTTTATTTTCTTAAACTTCTCACACATTAAAAGCATTTCCAATAGATTCTCTAATTTTAAAGAGCGTATTTTATTATTTGGAGAGCATCTATAAATTTAGAAATTTAAAATTTTGAAGCACTCTAACAAACTCTTTATATTTAATACTTAATTTTACTAATTTCAATCAATATTTATTATTTTCTCTATCTTTTATTTTAACTAACTTTTCTCTATATATTTTTTATTATTTCACTTTAAATGCGTTTAATTGTAGAGAGTAAGTTTCACTCTATAAATCTTGAGAGTTAAATCCACTCTCTAAATTAAACTGTTAATTTAAAGAGTTTTTTGGAACATAATTTTGAGATTGACTTTCTAAAATAGAGATCATTATATATTTAAAGAGTTTTTTTGGAGATGCTCTAACATCTTTAGGCTCTAACAGTGTACACGTATTTTACGAGTTGGATGGTATATATACATACATTTATATAAGTTTCGTTTGATCCCCATTAAATTCAATTACATTACATTCCATTTTTCTCTCTCCTATTTTCAACCACACAATTTTCCATAAAATAATATTACATGTAAATCAAAATTTTTTCTTTCTTTTTTAACCACTCATTTTTCTAAAAAATATTATTTCCCCCATTTTCATTTTTAAGTAATGGGGTCAAACGGGGCTAAATACGAACAGGTGTGGATGCCCTTTGCTATTTTGAATTATTGAGGATATTATTTTGTTATTTAATTTCTCTAACATGATCCAGTTCAGAGATTCCTTCGCACTTCCACCAAGTTGTCAGTGCATGTTCTGGCAAATTGCTTTGAATAAATTAAAAATCCTTACCCTCGGTTAGATCATAAATAGTTTGAACTCGCATGGAAGATTATTACTAATGCTATTTAGTCCCGTTAATTTTAGGTGGCGTTAATGTGACATTAAAGAATATATGAAATTTAAAAAGTCATTTAATTTCACATTTTATTCAATATATCATCTATTACCACCTAAACTGGGGTTGTAATCCCAGTGAAAGTATATAACATTATTCTTATTCATAACTT